AAAAAAAAAAAAGGCTACACCATATCTCAAGGCTAATTTTCAAGTCGAACGAACCAATCATTCGAGACTGGTAAAAATAAAAAATTACCGAAACACCAGGCAAATGAGAAGTCTTTTCTCTAATTTCAGCACTAATCTCTTGAAGATCGAACAAAGTTCTTCCACACGAAGGGCACGACACATATTCCTGGTGATATATCATTCATTCGTTAAAAAAATAATAAATTCATTTGATTTGTACATACTTTCGAAAAAACCTTTAACACTTACCGTCTTCGTATTTCTCATTCTGCAGCCTTGCAGCAAATTGAAAGACGTATTTCTGAGGAATTCAAAGTCTTGATCTGGGGCATCCAATAGGATACCATCTCCAAGTCCATCGACTAAAAGAGCTCCTGCATTGGTCCCGGCACCAATGACTAAATCGTCCCTACCAATTTGCCAAAAAAAAAAAGATAAGACTCGATGAATCATGATTCAGGCTATGTTTGGTAAATATAAGCTAGCTTACATAGTTTTTAAATTTCGAGCTTATAGCTATAATTATGACTTATGGCCAAAAATCTTGTTTATATGATAAAAGTGTTTGGTAAAATTATCTGAAATAAAAATTTGAATGAGCTTATTTAAAAGCTTATGAGATAAGTTTAAGTTTTTTAAAAAGGCTCGTCCTACCAAACCAACCTTATTTGAAAACAGGAAGCTTTTTAAGCTAATCAAATAAGTTATAAGCTAGCTTATATCTTACCAAATACAAACTCGGTAAACGGATTTTTCGTTTTTTCTTTTTATATTATTTCCGATGATTCACTTACCTGTGAGTTTGCTTAGGAAATTGTATGTGATGAATAACTGGAAAGTCTAAGGCATTCTCTGAAAGATACTCGAAAAGCCTGCAAATCATCGAGATCCTCAAAGTCAGACATCTCCATGAAAATAATAATAATAAAAAAAAAAATTTAAACAAGATTTTGGGAAAAAAAAAAAAACCTTCTTGCAGCATGAACTCTGCTAATATTCTCTTCTGTATATGGCACGTCGTGAAGAATCATAACTACATCATTGCTTTTCAGAATTTTCAGGTCCTCGTGAGGCTCGTCACCACGTACAGAGACTACCAGACGAGTACCTGAAAAAAAAAATTTGATCAAGTTAGAACCACGATAATTCGAACAAGATATTAATTATGCAATGCATGTCTCGTATATACCTTCGGGAAGAAGCTTGTGAGCACCAGTAGACAGCTCATTAAGAGTCACTAAAACGAGTGCATTGGGCAAAGGCTTAGTGAGCTGCTCGGATAAAGGAGTGATAATTCCCATGCTGATGTCTATCAACCGTTTGAGGGCTAATCTCTGGTAATTAAAACCGTAAAAATGATTAAAAAAATTGTTTTCATGAATAAATTTAATTATGAAGTGATGAAAAGTGGTTTACAGCATCTTTATCGTTTTCTGGTGGAAGCTCCCTCAATAAGATCGAGTCCACGGTTGCTAGATCCTGCGTTATTGAACTTTCTCGATTTAAAATCTAAAAATCGAGAATAACAAAAAATCGAATTCACGTGTGAGGGAGGATAAACGGGTATACCTTAAATGGCATTCCAACTACAAGTTTTGCAGCTAGAGACTTGTATAGAAATTCAGGGGCCTGCAGGGGAGAAAAAAAGGTACATTTTTTTTCAACATGTAAATCATGGAAAATCAAGAAATAAAATCAAGAAATTTCAAAAGATACGAATGCATAACAGGAGGACCTTTAATTGATCAAGAGAAACCGACATCAATACCGAGCCATCACGATGAAGTACACCTCGATAATCAACTTCCTCACCCTTGTATTAAAAACAAGTCAAAATTATTATTTTATTTTCCAAAGCCCAAATCACTCGAAATTAGTCAAACTAAATTCAAGGTATGAAAAAACCGTATCTTTTATTACCTCCTTTTGAAGTGGCAATTGACCGCTCCTACGCTGGAAATCAAAGTAGCGCCTGTTCTTCTCTTCAAATGGTGCCTGGCAATTCAATTGATTAATCAACAAACAAATTATTGGTTTTCTTGTGATTCAGAAAAGGATTTTTAAGCAAAATAATAGCAATTTTAATAATTGCATATTCTTCTTACCACTCCCTTCTGAAGCTCGGCTGCTCTCATTCCAAGGTTCGCCAATCTTCTACACGGATCAATCTCTTCTTCCGGAGCCTCAGTTAGGGACACTCGTATCGTATCACCCAAACCATCCTGCATTAATTACAACAAAACATAAAATTATTCTCAATATAACGTATTTATATGCATCTAAAATAAAGAGGGATGACTTTGATTTCGCTATTCAACTTCAAGCTTTAGTTAAACGTTATAGCTTTTAAAGGAATTTTGAGCTGATAGCTGATAGCTTATGACTTATGGTTGAAAAGCTAATTGAAATGCTATCCAAGGAAAGGAGGCTTGTGAGATAAGCTCGAGATTTTGAAAAAAAAAAAGCTAGTCCTGCCAAACCAAGCTTATTTCAATATATGAAGCTTATTATAAGCTAACAAATCAGCTAAAGCTAGCTTATTGCTTACCAAACACAACTCAAAAATTTCTAAAAGTATGTAAGACAAATAACACAAATACACTTAAACACATACCATGAGAAGAGTCCCAATACCAATAGCAGATTTCATTCGCCCGTCTTCACCTTCACCGGCTTCGGTAACTCCTAAGTGTAACGGGTAATCCCATCCCAGCACATTCATTTCAGCTACCAAAAGGCGGTATGCTTGGACCATAATCACAGGGTTGCTCGCTTTCATTGAGAACACGAAATTATGGAAATCGAGCTTGCGACAAATCCGAGCATACTCAAATGCAGATTCGACCTATTAAATGGTTAAATGAAAAAAATAAATTACAACTATAATAATAAAAATAAAAATAATATAAAGACCGAGGAGCTCAAGCTTCAAGTGTTGGAATGTAACCAGTTACCATTCCTCTTGGTGAATCACCATAATAGCTCATAATTCGATCGGAAAGGCTACCGTGGTTTGTCCCTATTCGCATTGCTCGGCCGTACTTTTTGCATTTTTCGACCAACGGAGTGAAAACCTGTGTTAAGTACAAACATTTTTCGACAAAAATTTTATACGTCAAGATTTTTAAGAACATTCAGAATCTCTTTTGGATTTTACTGAACAACGCATTAAGGTTGCAAGTACAACTAGAAATGCACTTCATGTAATTTATGAAATATGAACTATGAATGTATCTAGCAAACAGTGCACACCTGTTCAATGTGCTCGAGTTCTTTTTGATAATCTTCTTCTGTGTACTCAAGCGTCTCGAATTGCGCTCTCCTGTCAGCTGGAAAAATTAACGTTGTCAGATTAAATCGTCAATCGCCTTATTGTTAGAAAGCAAAAGAAAACTAGGATAAGATTAATTGCTGTGATTAATAACGTACCGAAATTCCCCGGGTTGACACGAATTTTATCAAAGCATTCAGAAATTCGTAACGCAATAGGTGGGGCGAAATGAATATCCGCAACCAGAGGAATGTTATAGCTGCATTATGGATAAGAAAAAAATAATAAAATTATCAATATAAACGCATACTTTTCAAGTGATTTGATAGTTAATATAAACACATACTTCTTCTGAACAAGAGAATTTTTTATTTCGAAACACGCATCTGCTTCTTTCCTTCCTTGTACAGTTATCCTCACAATATCAGCTCCTTGATCTGCTATCCTCATCACCTGTGAAAAATGTAACAATTCACCTAAGAAAAAGATGCATGGCTACTATGAACCATTTCGAGTTTGGCCTCTAACAAACATTCTCCTCTAAAAATAATAATAAAAAAAAAAATGTTTTCAACACTTCGTCGTGTCGCCAAATCATAACTCCCAAAACGAACTCCAATTATAAGACATTAAACTCTCCAAATGAATGAAATAAGTTTTTTTAGTTAGTATTTAGAACCTGATCGACTGTCGCGGCTACGTCCTTAGTATCTGTTGTTGTCATTGTCTGAATTCTGATTGGATGCTCGCTACCAAGAGCCACATTTCCAACCATAACTGTGCGCGTTTTTCTCCTCACCGTTTTGTGTATCGACTCACAGTATTTCTGTCTAGGAACTACATTCAGAAAGGTTGTTATATTAGCAAATACTTCATTTTTAGTCTATGTAGATAATCTTCTAAAAAAGTAAATAAATAAATAAATAAAAAAGGAAACACTTTCAAGAATCATGACAGCATTAAACTACCAGGACTCAGCTCAAAGCAAGCAAAAATTGGTTTTGAATGTAAGGCTACTCATCATCGGTTTCATAACCAAGATACATAAAAAAAAGCTGATCTTTAAATTTTTAACAGCAACAAGGAACAAATTGAAGAACAATCCATATCAAAATCATCCAGTTCATGTGGCTATACAAAAATATAAGGAAAATGTGCACAATCTAAGCAAATAATACAAAACAAATTTTACCTAACAGTGGACTTCCATCTGATGCAGGCTCGAGCTCAACAGTATCTGAACCGGGATTTGCCGAGTTCCTGATCAAAGCAACCTTAGTCCGTCGAAATTTAACCCTTTGCAGGTTAGAGAATCGAATGAAATCGGAATTTTTCACGATGCTGGTGCCCTTTTGATCCCTGCTTTTAAGAACTGTAAACGAAGCCTGGACAGCTCCTGTTGCCATTTTCAACTTCACCAATTATCAAACCTCACTCACACTGCTACTACACAAACCTGAAAAGATTGAAAAAATAAAATAAAATCAAGAAACTAATGGTTCAACAAAGTTAACAAAATTCTCGAATAACATAACATGTTGATTTTGTTTCAACATATCAACAGAAGCAAATCAATTCAATTCAAGAGATTATGCAATCAAGAGATCACCAACTGGGCCTCTACTCAAATTGGCCCAAATCAATTCCCAAATAGGTAAAGGGGAATAAAGTCAACCACAAGAAATGCAACTGAAAAATAAAAAAAAAAAAAACATAGAAAAAACTATAATCAAGATTCATTCATGAATCAAATACAAAGTCAACGTCTTTCACACACATAATAAAGCACAAAGATCCATTCAGAAAATTAATATAAAGACAGCATCTTTCTACTCGAAAGCACAAAGATTCATCTGAGGAATCAATATAAAGACAACATATTTTTACTCAAAAGCACTTGAACTGGGAACTCACTCAAAGCTCTAAAACAGCAGCTAAAATCAAATGATGGGTCTAACAGATGCACCAAAATCAAACTATTGGCAGAGTTTCAAGCAGAAAAATTGCGAGAGAGAGAGAGAAAGAGAGAGAGAGAGAGAGAGAGAGAGAGAGAGAGAGATGAATTTCAGACAAAAAGGGGAATAAAATGAAGAATTTATACTAACCAAGTAATCAGATGGGGGCCAAAGGTGCTCTCAAATTGTATAATAATATAAGCTTACAAAAAAATGTTAGCATTTCTTATGTTCTGTAGTGTGTTTCTTGAAGGCCATACAAATTGTTTTTCAAGAATTTCCCAACAATTGGACTGTTTTAGTAGCTTTTGCCCCTTCACTTTGCTCTTATTCTATTTTGACCCCCCATTGTTGCTTGTTGATTATTGATGGCTTATTCGGTAAATCTAGTTGAAAAGCTAACTGATGATAAGTTTATATATTACTCGTAAGCTTATTTTGAGTTTATAATCGAATTGACGACTGAAAAACTAATTAATATAATAACATTTTGAAAAAACACACTAAGTAGGTGGGGTTAAAATAAAAACTTTAACGATTTTTTTTTTTTTTTGAAAACCTAACTAAAGAAATTTTTTTTTTTTTGAAAACCTAACTAAAGAAATTTATAAAATAGACTCGATTTGTGTTAGAAACCTCATCCTACCAAATAAATTTTATTTGAATTAAAAGAAGATTATAGGTTAACTATATCAATTAGCTTATAATGCTTACAATACATTGTGTTCGGTGTAATTACTTTTCAGTTTTCTCGGTGATATTATTTAAATATTAATATTCGATCATGTGTACATGTACATACTTACATATGCACATATAATTTTATACTAGTACAACACCTGTGTATTACACGGGTGCTTGTTAAAAAATTATTCTTAAATTTTAAAGTTAATGAGAAAACTATATTAAATTTAGTTTACTTTTTTACCAAAAAAAAAAAAATATTACTATATACTTTAGAATGATATGTGTTACTTATGACTTACATGTGGTATATTATATTAGTTTTTATAACTTATATCATATAACTACTTGAAATATAAATATATTAGTCGATAAATAATTTTATTTTTCTAATTAATATTAAAAATAATTTTATTAATTATTTTTTTTATACATACAATATGGATGTTAAATCGAAGCTCATCGAAAAAAGATTAATTTGATATATTACATATGTAAAACTGATAAAAAATACAAAAGTTATTAACTTTTAAAATATATATACAATTCAATATTATAATAAAAAAATGATATTAAAATGCAATTAATACATGTAACATGACCATAAATAATCAATATATTTATGGTAATCCGAACCTAATTATTTTTGTTTTGGAATTAAATTAAAATTTACCCAAGCCTAATAACGAAGCATGTAATTTTGCCACATAGGATTTCGAAGCACCAGAAGCAGCCACGTAGGCTCAGCGCATTCTGTATTAATATATAGGGGGAGGGGATAATGAGTTAGACAATGTGCATATCATATTTTATAAATTTTAACATTAGTAAACTTAAACGATATAAATATAAATTATTTAATTTAAATATTAATCACACCTTATTCAATGAATATATATTATAAATTGGGTCACAACTTGGTTTACAACCAAGTGTAATGGAGGCAGTAAAAAATTAGTTTTTAATGTATCCATTACACTTGGTTGTAAACTAAGTTGTAATGGAGGTGAGAAATGTAGCATAATTCTTATAAATTTTGCCATTAGTAAAAATAAATATATAACTTGTACAATGGAAACCAGTTTTTTACTACAAGAATCTGAATATTTGGTCAAAAATAAAGATTGTTATTAATTTATTATACACAAACACGTTGGCCTCGCGCGCAGGACATATAATCTACATTAAATAAGATCAGTTCTTTCAAATTGCTGGGCCCAATTGATGAAAAACTATTTATAAATCGAGTTGCCATGTTCTCTAATTTATAAAATAATTTTATTATAAAATTAATAGTTGCCAATCTCGATTATCTTTTGTTTATATATATATATATATTCAAATTATTTAATTCAAACTTAACAATTGTGTTAGCTCTCAATTAATGTCTAGTTGACCTCACTCTTCTCAATCATAATTTATTGGATAAGTTTGTGAATTTCCAAATTTCTTAGTATTTACTACAAATTGTTCATTTGTTATTGTGTGTGTTAATTTTATTTAATTCCAACAGTATAGAGCTATTAAACAAAACGAACCTCTAGTAGTCTCGTGAGCTCAGTTTGGCTCGACTTTTTAAAGGCTCGAAAATATGATATTTTACATATTTATCTATAATTCAATTCGATAAGCCTCAAACTCGAGCCCGATTACTGACTCGGTAATATAACGATCTCTTCCATGTCCCAAAATATTGCCTATCTAATATTATAGTGTTTGGGAGCCAACATGTAGCAGAAAAGATACAGTCAGCTAACTTTCAATTTTTTATTTTATTCTCCTCGTGAAGCATGTGCCAAGCCCATCAACCCTTCCCAATCATGTGTACAAGGACTAAAAGGCAATTAATAAACATATAGAGATATAGATTAGTATAAAACTGTAAGTAGAGCTATTCAACAAATTCAATCAGGTTTGTCTCGTTAAAACTCGAGTTCATTTCGATTTATTTATCAAACTCAAGCTCAATTAGTCAAACGAGCGAACGAACTCAGATCGGTTTATAAAAACTCGAAAAAAAAAAAAAAATAGATTTTAGTTGTAATTTCATGAAATATTAGACTCGTTCGACGAGCTCAAACTTCAGACACTCCATTTAACTTGACTGTCCTCGTAAAAATAAGTTCTCGTGAAAGAAAAAAAAATGTATAAAATATTTTCCAAATTCAACAAGGCGTCGAGATGTAAGATACACTCTCAGTGATCCAATGTGAAATCCGAAATCTCGTCAAGAAACATTGCTATCTTCAACAAGGCCAAATCTTTCGAGGGTTGCAACAGTCTCCTCTTCGGCACTGACCAAACACAAAATAATACATTACTCGATGAACATATTGCATGAAAACTTCATAAAAGTTCATATAAAAAATTTACCGAGCAGAACCATTAGTGAACAATTAACATGCAACCAAGTACTATGCAAGAACACTCGTTCATGTAAATCAGTTTGTTTCATACAGAAATTATTTTCACCCTTGTTAATTACAAACTACAGTAAAAATATGAACATTGAGCATCAGTAGAAAATGACATCAGTAAAAATATTGGAACTCGATGGGCTTCACTTGGGACTAAATTTGCTGCATCTTTTTTACCGAAAGCATATGTATAGAGAACATTGAGCATGAATCAGAAGTGCATTGTTAAGGTCCCTCCTTCAGTAGTAAAAACCAAAATGACTGTTTCTTTTTCCAGATTTATCACGGAAAAAAAAATATAACCGCATTGGTCATGCCTACTTTCATTAATTTTTATTGCAGTCCGATACTTTTTTTGTTTATTTGAAATTTGCGATACACGTTTTTAGTCAGGAAAGGTAAATCCCAAAACGGGTATATCACATAAACACACACACACACACGTACATTAACTGAAAGCACAATCTTTCTCCTAAATTCTCCATAGTATTACAACTTACACAAGGAAAATTAATGTCAGAATCTTCGGTAGGTAAATTGCAGTTTTCGCACCTTTTTCTTTTTATCGTTTACAAGATAAATTATTTATCTCAGAGGTCACGAAAGGATAAAACCATGAGCATTCTAAAAAGATCAATCTACCGATTAAAATAAAATAAAATCGATTAAAAGCCCTCATAAAATAATCCATCACAATTCCATTTCAAGGTATAATTTTCTACGGGTGCACTAACAAGATAAAAAGATGTGCTTTACCTTCCGGGCCTTAGAATTTTATACTGTCCTAGCTTAGTAAGATCCACAACCGTTGATCCTGCACGGCTTGATGGAATCACACCACCATTATAGATGTAGGCACAGTGACCCCACAAAATCTCAAAATCTTTAACATCCACACTACTCGGCTGGCCACTAAGATTTGCACTTGTGAGGGCAAGAGCACTCTCCGAACCTCGGCAAATTAATCTAATGAAATTAGAATCGGGCACCCGAACACCTATGCTATCCAATCCAGGATTTAGAGACTTCTCAAGGATACTCGACTCTCCTGAAACGACGAAAATAAAGAAATTTTAAATATGTAATTCAGGTAACTTGAACTAAAGATTAAGAGTAAATCACTAAGGCTATGTGGGTAACCAAATAAGCTACCTTATAGTTTATAAGCTCCCTGTATTCAAATTAGCTTCGTTTGGTAGGATGGACTTTTTTAAAAACCTCGAGCTTATCTGATAAGCTTCTTTGGGTGGCTTTTCCGATAAGCTCGTTAAATTTTTTATTTCATCTAGCTATCAGCTAATTTTACCAAACACTTTTATCATATAAGCTAGCTTTTCAACTATAAGCTATATGCTCGAAAATCACTTATAAGCTATAAACTAGCTTATCAGCTAGTTTTCACCAAACATAGCCTAAGAAAAGCAAAACAGAGGATTGAACGAGAATGGATTAGTGAAAAAGCATTCTAGTTTAGAGTCATATGACAACCCAAAACAAATGAGCTTAGAATTTTTGACAAAACCTCGTTTTAGAACAACTGTAACGGGTCCCGGTAGAAGGGAATCGAGCAAGCCATGAGGCAAATGGTCGGTTGTGGCAAAACGTGGAATATCTTGAACATCTCCTACACAAATTGCTAGAGGGCTAGTATGTTTACGCCCTTTGATATCATATATCCGATGAACAGCTTCCATCGAGCTAGAACACAACCAGAAAAATCAAAGATGAACCTTTTCAGCTACTACACTATACAAATGTATCACATATAAATTTCATATAAACAGATCTTTCTAAATTCATCATCGTATGCTACAGAAAATACTAATCACGGTTATGCCTAAACAGGGAAGCAATGTAGTATATGTCCCACGCTCTTGAACTTGATGCGTTTCATCATCGTATGCTACAGAAAATACTAATCACGGTTATGCCTAAACAGGGAAGCAGTGTAGTATATGTCCCACGCTCTTGAACTTTTACACGCATCAACAAAGAACGGAATACGAAAACAGAAAATGGTTTGAGCAAATTGTACAGTGGGTTATAGATATGAACTAAAAAACTTCCCAACAGGGGAAAAAGAAAGAATTTTGTGCTTTCTTATAGCTAAAAAGACTCTGGATAGACAATATTGTAGAACTTTATGCACAAAAGAGTTAAAACTCCACAAAAAACACTCATCATCCCGCAGAATTAGTGGCACTAAAGATACAAACTTTGGAAAAAAATAGGAAAAGAAAAAAAAATCATTATACACCAGTCAGCATTTGAGATAATACCAAGCATCACAGGCAAAGCCATAGAGTGTATCGGTCGGCACTGCAATCACTTTCCCGGCCCTCACAGCCTCAATAGCTTCTGCCACATAATCCTCCGTGGCCGGCCGCAAAAAACCCATTTCAGCATCGCCCCTCAAATCCCCACCACAGTTCTCTGAGCTCCGAGCCATGCTCCTGGCGCGCAACACAGCAATATCTCCCCTGCTGCGCAACGCGTGCACAGACCGCAGCCTTTGCACACCTATGAACAAAACAAGAACAACAAGCATTTCATCAAACACCTGATGTGCTTTCTGTAGACGCTTACAGCAAAGCTCCTTCACAAAAGAAGTAAAGAAAAAAGAACATATGAAATAGTAAGACTAACAAAAGTGAGCACCAAATGCAGTCTTTTGCGCGCCAACACACACACACACACACACACACATATATATCCAAAGTGTACCAAATGAGTTCTGAAAGAATGGGGCGAGTAAAAGCGGCAGAGTTTGCGGCCGGGAAAATGTCGCCGGGAAGCTAATTTTCATCAGATTTGCGCCGGTTTCCGGCGGCTTTTGATCTGATGCTGAGACTTGAGAGTGGGCGTAAGCCCTATTTTCTTGGAGCTTGAAAGAGTTGAGCAGCTGATCAGTGTTTCAGATACCGGTCGAACCGGTTGACTTCTATTTCAATTTTCAATTTTCACGTTGATGTCATTATTACCTCAAAAATATGGGTATTAAAAATATTTTAATCTGAAAGTGACTAGAAAATATGTTTGTTAAAAAAAAAAATGAATAATTACACTTTGTAAATTGTAATAAGTCATGCTAATGCTGCAATAAGAAAGAAGAAATACTTACCAGTTAAACAACTATATTTTGTTAATATATATGTATTCTTCATATTAATACTAGTGCGTATCCCGTGCGATACACAGACAAGCAATATTAAATAATAATTATAAATAGTATCGAGGTCGAATCACCCAATAAAATATGTGGGAACCACTATGGACCCTTTCTTACAAGAGCAAGAAAAAATATTATAAATTAAAGATGAGAGAAAACGATATTAATTAATAATTATAAATTAACGATGTGTGTTAACATGTCATATAGTTTACAGTTTATCAATTTATTATAAGCTATATAAAATTAGCTTGTTCAAGAGAACATAAAATTTGTATGTTTAAACAATTTAAAACTCCTAAAAAATATTATATTAATATATGTAAAATTATCTAAAATTTTCTATATTATTATTAAAAGAGGTGAAGTCACGTACAATTTTTCTAAACTATTTTGTAAAGAAAATATATCTAAAAACTTAAAGTTTACATTTGTATGAAAAGTGTTTTATGAATATGACGTGACAAACTATTATATAAAAATATTTAAAATATTATAAGCCTAAATAAATACATTATAAAGTTTTTGAAAGAAAATTTACCTAGTATATATAAAATAAATATTGACATGATGCAGAAAATTATGACGATACTACCGTACCTGAAAATTTGAGTATAGAAGATTTCAAAATTATTATTATTATTATTATTATTATTATTTTGAGTAATTTGAGTACACAAGATTTCAAAATTGTTATTATTATTCTTTTAAGTAATTTGACTACAGAAGATTTCAAAATTATTATTATTTGTTAGTTACTGTCAAAAAAAATTTTGTACGCATAAAATTCCACGCTTTATGCAGGTTTATCAATTTTACAAATAAAATGAGATTTATTTTATATTGAATGGAGACTAAAACAATTTTGAAAAAAAAAAATGTCTATTTTCAAAATCATCCTCTTGATTTTTGAACCAATACATTTGTAATTTGACTTAATTATTGAAAATTTTTGAAACTTATGGAAAAAAGTTAGAGAGATGAATTTCAATTGATTTGAAATTCTTAAGCCATTCTGAATTTCGAGCTGCTTATTCTTGTTGATCAGTAATGGCATTCTAGGTCTTTTGGCAATTTTAGGTCTATTATTGATCATGCTTCTTTTGGTCTAGGATTCCAGCTTATGGCTGACTATGCTATTGTTTGTTGCATTAGACCTCGTTTGTGAGGTCTCCCGTCTTATGCGGTTGTATTTGGATTTTGCCTGGTTTGTATTTTTTAAGAGATTGTTAATTTTAAAGTGGCACAAAATCCTTCAATTAAGGTTATCCATCCAAAGATAGAAGCATGTGATTAGATATTTTTTAAATTCAATTTGAACAAAATCTTTTATATTAGGAAGAGACTTTGAATT